ACGATATATACCTGTGAAACACGAAATTGTTCCAAAAAAAGTGATAATCCATTTGAAATACAAGTATGCATGGACTCTTCACTTCTTTTTTTGTTTTAAGACAAAAAACAGTCTGAATATATAATTCAATATATATATATATATATATATATGAGTGATCCTGGTGATTTTTGTACCGTTCGATTTAAGCCAATGGAAATGCATGGTTCTGCGTTAATGTTAAATCGCACTTTTAGAAGCTTATGCCATTTTATTCCGGACACTTTACTCTATATATACTGCTAAGATCTCTTTTCTGTCTTATTTCCTTAGTGTACAGTAAGCAAAACACTTTGTTTTAGGGTGCTTTTTCCGTTCTTTTCTTAGTGGTTCCAGCAAATTCTTTTTTCTTAATTAACATTTTTCTTCTCTTAAGGGCCAGCGGAACAAAATCTTTTTTGCTTTTTGTGCAGTATTTTATTTGCTCTGTCAATCTGCAGTCTTAGTGTTGCCTAATCTTTTTTAGTTTCTGTGAAAACTTCGATGGAATTTCTGGTCCTCGAAAAGTTCGAAAATCGTGTCCCACCCCTTTTGAGTCTACTGCGCAGCTAATAAGCACTTTAAGCCAAATATTTTTCTATGAAAAAATTCACCAAAGTAGGCACTGTAGATTGCTAAATAGTTGCTAGCTTTTTTAGTTTTAGAGTAATTGACAGTTTACTGATGTCCAGTGGCTTGTGACATACAATTTGTCCCACCCTCTTCTGGCTTTCCGCTGACTGAACTACAGGGAATTGAGAACTCGTTTTTTTACCATAGATTTCAAATGAGTAGCACAAGTTATGCTGTAAATAGCAAGGCTTCAGCGTATATCTAAAGGAAGAAATTTGAAAAATACATCAAAATGTCCACCCCCAAACATATCTCTAGAATTGTTTTGGTTAGTACATAAAGCCTCAGATGATGCGATTATACGTATTTTGACACCCTGAATCGAATCGCCGGCTCAGTTTTCTACAAACCAGCTCAGCAACAAATTCCCGCAAAACCTGGATTTCTAGAGGCTCATGCTTAGAAATTGTCAAAACCCACTTTTTAAGGATGCCAGTTGATAAAGGACATGTGAAAACCCATATTTCAAAGATTCATACGCTAATTAGCGTATGATCATTAACTCAAAGACAACAAAAGCTAGAGACCGGCGGTTTTCAGCGATGAGAATACGACAGTTTAGCCTATTTTTTATAAGCAAAACAGTTTTCCGAAAGCATCCGAAAGATCAGTTTTCTAGGGGATCTTTCGAAAGCAAGTGCTGATCTCCAGAAACTGAGATACCGATCCATCAGTATTTTTTCATAGGCAGATAGTCCAAAGCGTTCTCTCGAAAATGAGAACTAAGCGAACTCTCGAATTTTTCCTGCTTCGAGTGTGGCATCGGATTTCATGAGAGCCTCAGGATCAATATCTCCTTAGGTGTGGTAATTCTGAAAAAGAACAGAAACATAGGTAATCGATCACGTTGAATCTCGTGGCAACATTTGTTTTTCAATTAAGTTTCAAAAACCTTGTGAAAAGCTATATTAGGTGAAATAACCCATTTTTACTTGAGATGTACAGAATTCAAACTTCAAGTGGAATTTATTTTTGACTTTTCACACAGCATTCGGTAGAGAATTCGATAGAGAATCTGATGAGATGACGAGTATAACTCCCCCGATTTTTTGAAAAAAACTTCCGAACGAAAAATCGAAAAAACTTTAAAGATGTCCAAAATACCAAAAGAACAAGTTGTTGGAAAAATAACCGTATTTTTTTCTCTTTATTGTTTTGAGGTTTCAGACCGAAAACCGGGTTTTTAACAGCGTCCGAGTCGAATGATGTGCGTTTCTATCCTATCCGACTACTTTAATGTTTTTCGAATTTTCACGTTGAAAAATTACCGAGATTTTCACCCAAAACTGAAAATCAACCAAACATTTCGAAATACACATCATTCGACTCGGTTTTTGATTCTGATCTCAAATATGATATTTTTATTGCTCAAAAGTTGAGTTCTGATCGAGAAAATTGGGAAATACCGGAAAAACTCCGACGTTTTTTGAAAAAAATGCTTTTTCTTAGCAATCAAAAAAAATTTAAAAAATTCACGAGTATACTTTTGAAGAGGAACACACACCGAATCCAGCCATGTAAAAATATTGATTCTAGCACCTCTGAAAAAACCTGAGATACGTTTTCAACAACTGGTTCGGTTTTTTAGCCCTATGTGTTTCGGACGCTGTTAAAAACCCGGTTTTCAACAAAAAAAGAAGTGAAGAGTCCATGCATACTTGTATTTCAAATGGATTATCACTTTTTTTGGAACAATTTCGTGTTTCACAGGTATATATCGTCGTCTGTCGTACACGACAATAACCGTGATACCTATTTAAAAAAAGTTACTAAATATTCTAATATCTTTAATTACAATACAACTAATCTTGGTAAAAGCTCCTGTGTTGAAAACATGCAGCGTCATTATTCGGCTAAAAACCAGAAATAATTCATAAAAATCTTTAGTACACACTCTCTATAAAAACCTTAAATATCGTCTTATTAGCACAGAAAAAATTTAAATGGCCAAGCTCACCTTTATTAGTATTCGTTTAAAAATGAAAACTGATAGTATTATAGTAGTAATGCTTTTCTTATCTCATCCTCGAAAAGCAGAAAAAATCGCGGATAGAAAACGGTACGTATTTATGTAAAGCATAGATTTTATCACGCTTTTATATATTTTTTTCCTTCTTTTGTGCTACAGATTCTTTTTCTTATCTTCACAAAGTTTATTATTATTGGATTATTTGTCTTTATTGACAAAAGAAGAGTAATACATTCTAAAAAAGAAGGCGACTTCAGTGATGTGTCTGCCGAGAAAAAGTGTTTTGTATGTGACTAGATTGCATCTTCAAAATAATAGGTGTCTTCTATATGTCTTCAAAGTGTCTACTGGTAGACATATAGAAGTCACGTTGGAGTCGCATAGAAGTCGTATGAATGAGAAAGACGCTTCGTATAATCTTTATTTGATAAACATGATGTGATATTTTGTGACCACAATAAAAGAATGTGTAAATCCATCGGATGCGATACAATATATGAAACTTGGTAGCAGACTCATAAAACATAAAGCTAATGGGAAAACACACTGAAGAAAATTTTATGTGTACGAAAGCGAAGATATCGTCTCTTACCATAATCCACAGCTCTACTTTACAAAACCAACAAATTGTAAGCATCTTTATTTATTATCGCTATATTAACCACTTCAATATTTACCACATTTGTGGATAGGGTAATTCGAACATCTTCACAAAAAATATGCCACCTGTTTCTTCCGATGAATTCATGCGTTTTACCTGTTTTCTTCTTCTCTTCGTAATATTTTCAAATAATTAAACTGAGATAAAATAATAAATAAGCTCGGAAAAAAGTAATATTTGACCTCAGTGTGTTTAATTGACTTTAGATTAGAATGAGAGAAATGAGCTTGATTGTAACTTAATAAAAGTAAATTTTATTTATATAAATGAGAGTTTTGAACTCAGAAATTAATTCATATTACACAACTTCTCCTACTAGACGGACGTGTATTCCTTGTTTCTTTGCACTGACTTCTCTGTAGTATATATATATATATTTTTTTTACTATAGTACACATTTTCGAGCACGTGTGTGTGCGTGATCGAGTTTTCTTCTTTTTTTTCTTCTTGACTTCCCCGGTAATTAACGACTTGAATGTCGTCCAATTACCAGGATAATTCTAATTCTTATAACAATGGCTACCAGAATAATAGTTACGATGCATTAAATACTACTGCTCAAATCGTTGGTGACTCGCTTACCATGTTGAATGATTATCACGGTGATACTTATCAAATGCATAGGAATAACAGAACAAATTATCAACAATCTCGTGTTCCTCTTCCTTCCAATGCAAACTTGGTATCTGTTAATTCGCCTGCTCGATCAATTCGTCGTACACATTCTGATTTTGATGAAATCCAAGATGAATTTCGAACTGTAAATGGTAAAAAATCAAAAAATATTGACCCCAGTCGTTCAATTCGTCCTGTACAGAGACAATTGGCTCGTTCTCCACCTCCATCACTTATGTCTTTATCGTCTCAAGTAAATAATGGAGTGTCAGTAACCTCATCGTCAACAGTCAATAACCAATCGACCTTAAATCAACGTACAACAGCTAATGGAACAACTGTAAATTCTTATTATAATAATCAACAATCTACAGTTTCATTTGAAGCTACTCGTTACGCCCAATCACGTTACCCATTTCAACCTTTTGTCGTACGTTTCTCATCTTCTAATATCAAGGAACAAAAGGTTGCGGAAGATTTGTGTGTACACTTGAAACAAAATCGTGGATTAGATATTGAATTTGTGGGGGTTCGTCGTTCTACTCGTAAATGTGGGCCAAACGAAGTTGATATTTTACTATTCGTAAAGGATAGTCATTCCTTTGCACATTTATACGAGGATCTCAATTGGCCGCAAACTCTCCACTGTCAAGTTTTTACTCATCCCTCATCGCCATCAATCCCCCCGCAATTGTCTCTTATTGTTAAAAATGTTGGTTTACATACGGATTCTGTTCAAGTTACAAGAGATTTAAAGGAGGTGTACTCGGATATTAAAAACGTAATTAGAATGAAAAATCGGTATCAAAATGAAATTAAATTGGTTAAACACGAATTCTCAAAGCCAGAGCAGCGAGACGAAATTTTGAATCGTGGTAAGATTGTAATAGACTCGGTAACCTATGAAGCTGAAGAATTTTTAGCTCCAGCTCGTGTACTCATATGTAGCAACTGCATGGGAATCGGTCATTTTCGTAAACAATGTCAACAACAAGACGAAACGTGCAAAATTTGTGGATTGATTTGTCCGGATCTAAAAATGCATGTTTGCTCTCAACAACAAAAATGCATTCATTGTGGGGGAGGGCATCATTCAAATGACTTAAAATGGCCAAAAGTAAAAGAATTTCGTTCTAACCTAACAAAACGTCTTTTATTCTTTTCTCAAGTTCCCCAAACTTCTCCTGGTGCTCAATTCCATCTATCTTCCTCAGATTTTCCACCTTTGAATGTTGCTCAACGATCAACGATTGCCGGTAGTAACAAGTATTACAATAATATGAATAACAATAATATAATCTTAACAAAATTGAATGAGTTAAATCTAAACATTATAAAATTAAATGATAAATTAGAAAATGCAGCATCTAAGTCCGATAAATTTGAACAATTATGATAGATCAGACTAATTTTGCTATTGGTACAGAAAAACAGATTACTTTGTTATCAAATGGCATTAGAGAAATTAATGTTAATACAAAGCAATTGGATGTACTATATCGTCGTCATGAAAATTGTTTATTTAAAGTAATAGTTCCTGTTTTAAATGATATCATTAAATTTATGACTGAACAAAATCAAAAGAATGGAAATCCACAAAGTGCGGACGTAGAAAAAAGATTAGAAACATTTTATAGCTTAGTAAAAAATGGTATGGAAGGTAATGAAGTGTTTAAATGACTCTATGCCCTACTGCAGTCCCTTTTTTCTTTTGTACATCTCTAACTAAATTAAAAGAAAGAGAAACCGTGTTTAACACGGTTTCTGAGCGAACGAATTCTGAGCATTACATAATATGTAATGCTCAGAATTCGTTGTCGCCTTTTGACTTCTCTCTTTTCGTACAAATTTTCGAAGAGTGGGAAAGTAGTCCCCTTTTACCAATTTGTTTTAAAAAATGGCAAGAGTTTGTTAGACCTGATTTATCTTCTTCGTGTTCACAATTACACATTTTGTCTTTTAATGTGCGTGGTTTCGACTTGAGGATGCAAGAAGTCTTATACTTGTCTCTATCTTTCAATTTCGATATAATGATACTGTTAGAAGTTGGTTCTATCGATTTTTCTCTTCTACTTCAGATATTTCCTAAACACCGTTATTTCTATCAAAAAGGTGAAAATAGTCATGGAGGCGTAATTCTGCTGCTAGGAACGAGTTAAAAGTTAAACGAATAGATTGTGAGATTCCAAATGTATGTGGTGTCGACGTTGAGTTGGATGAATCTCTCAGAATATTTGGAGTCTACGGGTTAGAAAGTAATACTTGAAGTTGGGACGATCTGTCCAAATATTGTATAGGTAAATGTGTTTTTTTTGGAGATTACAATATTGATTTGGAAAGGGATGGAAAGGAATCAGAATCACTCCTAGATTGGGCTGACTCGTGCAATCTAGCGCCGTTTACTCCTGTAGCCCCAACATCATTGCGATCTGATAGAATCATCGATTACGCCTTTTCCGCAGGGATTTCTCTTGATGTGCAAACGTATGAAGGAGGTACAACTAGTGACCATAAGCCGATCTTATCTGTGCTCTCAATAAAATCAGATGCTCGGACGCATGGAAGAAACATCCATTGGAAAGTATTTACATTGGGTTCTATCGAGTGTTTATCCCTTCTGGGAGAAAAATTGGAACCTAAAACACATTGACTCGATATATAATGATTATGTTACCGTTTTATACCTTTTACAAGCCCGCTGTACCACGTACTTTTTACTTGATAAGTATAGAATAGCAATTCCAGTGGAGCTACGGGCTCGCCTGTCCTTTGTTTGTGCACTGTCTTTTAGACAAAAACGAACCGGCGATTTAATCTTAAAATAAGTTGTTTTTTTAAAAAGTCTAGTAAAACAGGAATTAAAAGTCTTTGTTACTGCACAACTATCTCGTAGCTTAGCATCGCGTTTTTCTTCTTCACCAAATTCTGTCTCTTTCTGGTCTAAAACAAAAAAATTCTTTAAGCCTACTTCCTCAACCTTAAATGCGTTTCTGTTACCCAACGGAGAAACTATACGTGATCCTAAAGAATTGATGGAAATTGCTGCTGACCACTATGAAAGCCTATTCGAGGAGCCTAAAGAAATTCTAAGACCTCATCCTCACGTTGATGCTCCTTGGGCAGACAGTGAGAATTATTACGAAGATATTCCACTAGCTACCTCCGAAGAAGTTTTAGAAACTGTTTACTCATGTAAGAAGAAGCAATCAGCCGATGATCACGGATTATCTGGATATATGTTCAAATTTTTACCTATTTCGTACTGGCTTCTACTTTTACAAATCTTTAATTTGTCCTTCTCTTCAGCCACTCTATCATCCCTGTGGAATGACGTAAGAATGATAGTGCTTGCAAAAAAAGAATCTATTTGTCCTCCATCTCAAACACGTCCTGTTTCACTCTTAGACGTCTTCTTAAAAATTGATGAAAAACTTTTTTTAACCAGGTTTTGGGAAGTTCTACGAAGGAGAGGAATCTTACCGGATACACAGTCAGGTTTTAGGCCAGGTTTTCGGCTACAGACTAGGGTCCTTCTCTTTTTGGAGCATATTTCTTCATTAAAGGCAAATAGTTCTCCTGTTGCCACCGTATTTGTAGACTTTAAGTCTGCCTTTGACCAGCTTTGGTTTGAAGGCTGTCTCGGGAAACTACGT